TAAACCGGGCAGTATTTACAATGTCGTGTGTCTCCCCAAAAGTAACAAAAAAGAACGAAATTGATCTTTGCACTTAAATCAGTAGTTAGCTTTATAATACATAGTTAACATACCACTCAGTGCTCCAACTGCTCCAAAATTTAATGACTTTCCATCCATTATACTGGCATCACACTCTATCTCACCCAGAAGGTTTAGGTTAGACCCCAATCCTGCATTTGTAAAAGGAGAATCCTAAAAATAAGAACAAAATACTGTAAGGCCACATCCATAACAGACTAGATAAAAACCTTTGTATAACTGATCTGATGACGCTGATTTTGGTACAGTGCACTTTTTTATTCTAGTAATTTAATCTTCCACGACAAAAACAACAGCAACTTGAACAGGGTATCTCACATTACTACAACGGGTATCTTACATCCTCTATAGGGTGTGATACAGCTCAAGTGTAATAACGCACTAACACAAAAACCAATCATCCCACTATTTAAGATGATCGCTTATATGCAAGCAAAAACCTTTCAACGTGACTGAAAATCTCTTCCTCCCTCCCTCAAAATACACACTTCATTTGGTTCCTAAGCCATCAGTCTGTTTAAGTAACATCTAATGATCATTGCGTAGACCACAGTCTACCTTTGAAACTCCTAAGTACGACACGGAAGCAAAACGGAACTGCACTTTTCCTGAACATTTTAAGCCTATGATTGCAGCTCCGCATGCAGAAATTAACAATCAGCGTAACAACTCACTTCGTAAAATTTCTGTTTGATCATCAGCATAAGGATAGTCATTACTGTGGTCTGGAAGTCTCTTGAATAAAAACCGAGATGCATTTCACTGAAAGCATGGCACATTTAATCAACTAATTTAAAACCTAACTCTTATTTTATCAGCACCTTCTGCAGCTTTTTGCAAATTCAAGGTTCTCAAAGAAGTTTTGCATGCTAGAATTAAAACCACCTATTTTTACCCTCCTGTTTCGTCAGAGCATCCCTGTGACTTTAAAACCCCAAAGTTTCAAAGCAGCACAGCTCAGGAGCCGCACTGCCAGCTCAATATAATCCCCTCTTTCTAGACGCAAGCATGAAACGGAGTATAGGATAAAGAAGAGAACAGCCCAGAACAGCCAAACGGCAAAATTTCAGAGAGATGCTGCATGCTTTCAGAGTTTCATATCTGTTTTAATTACAACAGCATAACAACCTGATGTGACAAAGAAAATGGTTGCCTAGACCACATGTGAACATGTGACATTAGAGATGGTCACACTATTACAGAATATGTACTATAAGCTGAATCAGGAAACAAATCTGCTGGAAACAGCTCAAAGTTCTGTCTTAAGTGTTAAGTGAACTGTTTCTTTTTTGGGCATACAAGAAAACAAAAGAAAGAGTGAGAACGCAGAAATTAAAAATAAATTGGATGTTAGTCAGTTAGCTTCTCATAACTTTCACATGAGTAAGTAGTTGAGTAAATTCAAAACCTGTTTGTAAGATGTTGATTTTAATTTAGATATTTAAAGTGTTCTTAGTGTTTGAGTCACCAACATGCAATCTTCCTGAAGAATCATGAATACATAATACATTATTAACACAATCATGAAAACGACTGTAATCTCTCCCACGTTCATTTTACACTACTCATCTTTATTTTCTGCTTTTTCCTTCAGCATCCAGGAAGCAGCCCAAGATTTTATCCCATTCTATTTTGTCCCACACTACAGCTCACAGGAAAGAAGTAACTTTGAAAAGATGTTTAGGATAATGAAACATTTGCAGTTTAGTGCACAGGCAATAACTTTCCCTAGAAGGGGAGGGAGGGGGGAAAATGATTTGTAAAAGGCTATCAAGATGATGGCCTTGAAAAGGTGGAAGACTGCAGAGCAGACGCTGGCTTAACTGACTTCATTGCTCCCCAGGCTCTACAAGTCTGAAGAAAATTAAGTCAGCGAATTTTAGTACAAAAGGAGCAGAGAAATGATGGAAGGAATCTGAACGCGAATGGTGAAAGGTACTTGGAGGACAAAGCAAAAACAGGAATGCATTAAGATGAACAATACTTACTCCTAGTGCTGTCCAAGTTCCTTGCTCAAGGGTAACCAGACTGCATCGACCTGCAAGCCTGGAGACAAATTTCTAATGTTCTGTTCCAAAAACATTCACTCAGTGCATAATACTCAAAAGCATTAGCAAAGAGGAAGAACTTTGTGCTCTACAGATCTGTCACCGCCACAAAGCAAAGCCAGCTGTTATCTTAAAAGCAGGTATCATGGCCAAATAGAGGGAGTAAGACGGACCTATCAGAACAGAAGTCCTAATAACACTGTCCAGGATCCTTCTGCAGTCAAGACACAAAGCTCTGTATCATCTGATAAATATAATAATCAAAAGAAGGTAGGGAAAAAATACAGGATATAGAGTGGCACTAGTTCACTTTATTTCTAAAAACCTGGATGTGCTTGATGCTTTGGCATAGCACCTTCACTGGCACAACATCAAGGATGCACCAAGAGACAACTTATTCAGAGGACCTCAAGACAAAGGGAATGCCACCTGTTTCTCCCTATAAAATATTTATCAGAATATTACAGAATATTAGATAAGTAAGAACTCTACACCAACAAAATTGTAGATGCCTCTTTGGTTGCGTAACTCATTCATTTTAGGACTCGGAATCTTAACAGTACGATCAGTCAAAACATGAGTAACCTCTCCAGTAAAAAGACAGACCTAATCCCAAGCACCTGTTGAAAGTTTCTATGGAGCATTACTTCACTTTCCAATTGGACTGCACTCAATTAAGAAGATGGTCTCAGAATTGCCAAGAGGAAGATGGTCTACTCTAACTTCACAGATCTGAAAGGCGATGCGATAACAGCTTTAGACAGTGCAGGAACAGGGTGTGAACGCATGGAATTTCTGATACCTACCTGAGTGTCTCTGAGACGAGATACAAAGTCTTTGAAATGAGGCAAGGAATAGCCTTTATAAAAAATGGAAACAGAAATTCACACCTACTTTATGAACAGGCAAGGACAGGCAACACACCACATAAATACATCTCTTTCAAAACATGAATCTCTGCAAAGCCTGACCAAAAGATTTCAAGACTGATACACAAATGGAGCAATACAACTTCTGAAAATTAAGGTGTATTTTGAAAGGAAAATTCAAAACCTCCAAGGAATGCAGAAGTATTATGAAAACAGAAGCGCACATGCTCTCAAAGGGGGAAGAAAATAAACTGAGCTAACTGAAGCAGTCTCTTCACACACTTGGACAGAAAAATGCAGAACTGGATGACCACCATAGGATGGGGAAGAACCCAATCAAATGTGTATCCAAGAAGAGGGAAGAAGGGAAAGGAGGAAAAGGTTTTGAATACAGAAGGAAGGTATCTTCAGGAATATACTTTTTTAAAAAACACAAGCAGAGATCAGCCTTTACATTTCCAAGGAGACTGAAAAAAAGACAAGCAAACCAAGCATGAGCTTTGCCTGTTAACAGCAAGACCTACTACCATAGAAAAGTAAAAAAGAAGAGGGAAAAGACAAACAAATGGCTATTCAAAGCATTTTAACAAAACACAAGCTTTTGATTATGCGAAAAATACTAGACTATCTGGCAATTACTCCACCAGTGAGGTATCTCTAACTTGCAATGTAAACCTGTGACAAAGGAAATAATACAAAGCTTTAAGACATGAAACGAGTTTCATTTTCCCAAGTTAGCCCATTTTGTAAAAACTCTCAAGCTACTGAGAGTATAGTTTTTATTTTTAGAATTCTTTTTTACTTCAAGATGTATTTATAAATGTTCTGGCAACAAATGCAGGCATGCTGAAGTTTCTAGCTGTGGTCAAAGTTGGAATGCTTGAAGAAGTTACTCAACACTCTAACAATAATAGTCCTGAATTACATCTAGGTAAATAGTTAAAATATTCAATTTTCAACACACATTAAAGAACATTCCATCCATCTTTGATATAGTTTTGGCTATGGTTTTCTTGCAACTTTTAAAAGGAATTCAAAGTCTACAGGCATTTCTTTTTACACACCGCAACTCTAAAATATATTTTTCTGAGGGAATTTAGTGACAAGAAGTAATAGTCTACAAGGATGAGTCACATCCCTTTCAATTAAACCAACAAAAATGTTTTTAAAGAACACTTTTGTCACAGATTACTGTTAGCCACTCTGCTGCAAAACATCATAGTATTGCTTTTAACAAGAATTAACAACTTCCAGTTCATTACCCATTAAAAGTTCATCTATGGTGACTTCCTTAATACAAGGCTGCTGGCACCGTGCTTTCTTCTTTAAAGAGAAGTCCCTGGGACTAAGGCTGTATATTCAAAAATCTTAATTATCATAAAACTAATAAATAAATAAAGAAAAAACAATTCAACAAGAAACAAGTCCTTTCACTGCAAAATTTTGTGTGCTGACAGCCACACAAACCCACTGCTTGAGTATTCTAACAGGTTCAAAATATCCTTTGTGATGATCAACAACGACAATGAAAAAAAATGCAAAGTAAATTGAGCAATTTTAGTATCAAGGAGATCAAAATCCAAAATGTGAGGTCCACTTCCCCATCAGTCATATTAATTTCTAATTTAAATGATGTTCATAAAGAGCATTCTACTGAAGTCAGATTAAAGAAATCAGTGATCTATACACAGTATTAATAAACTTAGACTAAACTTTGAAAAAGTTTGAAATCATCATCCTTTACAACAAATTTATCTCCAGTACCTGACTTTCTGAAGGGCTCTACAGGCAAAGAAAAGCTTGAAATTGCACATTGTTCTCATAAAAACAATCAGCACGTGGTTTTGTTGAAAACTTCAAGTTTTAAGGGGGTGTATGGAGGGGGACCTCCCTCTTCCCCCAAAAAAGCTGCCCAAATCCCTTTGTGTTTCAAGAGAAACACGGACTTCATATGGTGGCTGATAGTAAGAGTGCAAAAAGAAACAGTACTGCGATTTACACAGTGTAAATGATGAGTCTTAGGAAGAACCTTGTCCAGATCCATTTTATTACCAAAAGCTGAAAGAGGTAACATGCTCATTTGTTTCTCTGCAGTGACAGAGTTCACAAACTGGAAAACATTACTGCGTTTAATCAGCTTATCAAATACAGCTGATATTTACGAAGATCAGCACAGTTATTTCAACAGTGTTCTGGGTCAGCTGCTCTTGTCACTTTGCAAAAGAAATCTACCTTTTCTCTAGTCAACTGTTAGCATTAGTATCATAGACACTATTTCACTGGAGATTCGTACCGTCCAAAGAAAGGCTGTTCTTTCTCCATTTAGAGCCTGCAAAAATAAAACAAAAAACAGACAGCATACCACAAGCAAACTGTCAGCTTGCTCATAAAAGATCAAGAGCAAGTCTTGCGCCTCAACAAGTCTTTGAAGTGATGCCTCTTGGATTAGCTGAAATTCTGTGTAATAGGAGTTGTGTAATTGAGCGGAACTGAGGGAAAAAAATTCATCTTCTGTGACGCTTCCATGAAAAAATATTTATGTCTTGCAAAAACTACAGATTTTTTGAATACGGCACTAAAAATCCTAAAGAATTGTACAAGTGATTAAATATTTCAGATAAACTCACAGCAATGTGTTCTACAGCAACCAAAATATCAAGAAGTTAAAACAGTATTCCACAACGGAATCTGCTATCACGTTACGCAAACTTTTGTTGTTCTGTATCTTAATCTGTATTATAGTGACACATTCAAAGAAGCGTTGGCTGATCTACTCTCTCTGGTGACCAGAGCTGGAACGCAAGGAAATGGAATAAAGCTGCATCAGCGGAAGTTCAGACTGGACATTAGGAAAAGGTTCTTCATGGAGAGAGTGGTCAGTTATTGGAACAGGCTCTCCAGGGAAGCAGACACGGCACCAAGTCTGTCAGAGTTCAAGAAGCATCTGGGCGACGCTCTAAGTCATATGGTTTAGTTTTAGGTAGTCCTGCGAGGAGCAGCAAGTTGGACTCAGTGATCCTTGTGGGTCCCTTCCAACTCAAGATACTCTATGATTCTATAATTGTTTTCATACAGATTTTCACTATGTATTTGCCAACTCAAAATCCTAAAGTACTTTCCAAAGAGTCACTATTTTTTCCTGCATGAACAAAAGGATAGTGATAGCTCATTAGAGAGACAGTCAACACACAAAACTACATCTTTACTCATAAAATTTTGTAACTGATGAGAAAAATTTTTCTGTTCACTTTGTTGACTTGCCACATGCAGGGTTTTTTTCCGTAGAGCAACAGGAAAAACATCAGAACTAAAACAGAAGATGCAGCTCCAGAAACAACAGAGATGTCTGGAGGTGGTGCTCAGAACGAGATACGAGTAGATACAAATCCTTCAACATTTTGAAAGCTGGCAGTCTAACACTCTGGAATTTCTCATACCAGATCCAAAAACCTGCCACTATCAATCACATCATTGTCTGTTTCGAGTGTACCTTTGATTTTTCCTCAGTGTAACTGCATAGCTACGTACATGGATTTAAAAGAAGTCCAAATCCCAAACCCAATATTCTTTATCCCAGTAATGGAGAGAACAACCCACAATTCAGAGGTTATATAAATCACTTAATGAATAAATGAAAGCAAGTAATTACATTCATGACAGCGGTACAACCTGAACAAAATAATATTCAATCTTAAAAATGGGAAAAAGGAAAAAAAATAGGGCTGGTGCAGCAATACACATAAAAACACTACTTAAGACAATTATGAAACCAGAAAGTGGAATGATGGTAGGCATCACCAGAATAGTAGCAAGACACATGAGGAGAAAAAGGTTGCTGATTGGAGCAATTTCATAAAAAGGTTTTAAATTCATTTTAAAACCATAACTTCTAACACAGATGTCACTTCAGAATATTTAAAACTACTACAGTAAAAGAAGAAAAGTCTCTTGGGGATAACAAAAACATAACATATTTACCTCAGGCACAGCTGCAAAGAGATATATAGCTGTTAAGTTAAGCTTCTTAAAGTATGTTTTCTTCTATGTAGCTCAGGAAAACGATAAAAATCACAACATAAAGTAGATTTTTTTTTTTCCTCTGAGAACGGAACTGACACACTAAACAATCTTGTGGAATACCAGCAGGATCAGTTAGCTTACGGCAGTGCATTATAAATAATTCCATTAGAGAGATACACATTAGAATATAGATAGGTGAAAACAAAGCGTAAGATAACACATGAAAGCATATTTGAGCGCTTTGGTGGAGACCAAAAGCCCTGTTTAAAGCCCAAAAGCTTGCCAAGTTAAAAGTATGACTGAAGCCTTGGCTCCTACTCAGCATGTCTAACACATATTGAAGTACGTACTGCCTGCCTTTCGCTAACCCTATTGAGCACATTCATTAACACTTTCCCAAAATACGTGTAAGCAAATCCACTGCTAATCCTCTCAGAATACTACCATAAATTCCAATCCCAGGAAATTATTTTTACAGCAAAACACTTACCTTGCCTTCCTTCTTTACTCATAAAATTGGAAAGGAAGAAGCAATTACTCCTTACAAGAGAAGAGGAATACCTGCTTCAATCATTACTGCCACGAGTGATTAGGACCTGGGACAATAACCAAACTGCCTCATTTATATCCCAGAAATTCTTTTTGCTTTACTCTCTTCTACATTATTTCATAGGAAGTCCACTAAAGTCAGATGCTGTAAAAATTTCACCACTCCAAAAAGACACTCTTCCAAAAGCCTCAAACTGCTGCTCATCTTCTTACGATTTTCAAGACTTGCTATCTTAACTGACAAGTACCATTTTGAAATAAAAGAATTACTTGTACCAGACTTCTACACACAGTTTGCATTAAAAATCAGAAAAAAGCACTATCTTACACTGAAGTAACACTTCTCTGAACAGCCTGCTTCTAGTCTCTTACCCTATCAGAGATCATACAGAAACAAAGCAAAAAATGTGAGAAAAAAAGCCTTTGGGAACCACATTGATTTAAGCATATAGCAAAAGTACGTTGCGGGACAAATGAGAACTTAAAACTCCTACTCCATTTTCAGAGTCCTTTAACTGGATGGAGAGACAAGCAGTCTTAAATTTATGCAATAACTTCTGTAGAATTATCTCACTTTTGCAGTATTATCCCGAAGACCTGAAAAAAAGTATGAGTAACACAACCCAAGAAAGCACACTCAGAGATAGCTACCTCAATATACCTCAATGAGAGTGTTAATGTAACTACTGAAGACTAACTACATCTAAATTCTTTGGATCATAATTTCAAGAAATTAAACATAACTCAGTGTGAGACACTAAAGCAAACAAAAGGAATGAGAACTTATCCCAGAATTTCTAGTTAATATATGTCACCAGTAGCATGATTTTTCCCCTCTAAGAAGCAGAGCCAGTGCAGCCTGCCTCTAGCTCGATAAGTCAGAAATAAAGATCCCTACAAAGCACTCATTAAATTTTCATGACTGTATTTATTCTTGAAGGTTAAAGACTATCTGATCAGGCACACCTAAGATGACAATCAAACTGCACCATCTAGACAACTTACTCAGTTTCCATTTTTATAAAGTCTTTAATTAAGTTTACTCCAAAATATAGCGGAAAAGCAAAAGATAAAATTAGTACATCTGCCATGTCTGCACAGATAACTAAATATAAGAGACAAAAATGGAAATCTCAGTAGATTTCCCATTTGAATTAATACCTTCCTACAGAAAGATACAACAATGCACCCGAGAGACAAATTTACTACTAGTCAGAAATTCGTACCTCTAATTCTATAAGTGCTGCAGTCACTGCATCTGTGGCAAGAGCACCAGCCTGTAGCTTTTCTATTGCCTGTAAAACAGAATTTTTAGTTGATGATTAGGAAGTTCTGTCACTAAGCCCTACATTTTCCTAGTCCTGTACAAACCAAAATCTTCACTGAATTAGTTTAAAATGTAAGAAGACATAAGAACAAGAGGCACTGGAAATAGCCAGTATGCACCACGCAAAGGCAGATGAGAAGGCATGATTTTACTACTCGGACATTGCAATACTGCATTTAGTAGCAGATTCCTGCGTGGTCAAATTTATAGCAAAATAAATTCTTATACCTGTTGTCCTCAAACACTTCATGTTTCAGTCAAGAAGTTCTAATTTTCCTTCTAACATTCAACAAAAGGCCCTAGTACCACATATGGCAATTGTCATAAAATTGAACAGAACATACAAGTACGCTCATCTAAAAGCCAACACAGAAAAACAAATCAAATAAGACAAATGTTATCTTCAAATTATATACACACACAAACATGAACTTCTAGAGCCTAATGTTATTTCTTAGATCCATACTGGACAAGACCTTACAGTTAAGTTCTCTCAGGGAAACCCCAGAAAACAACTATGGCTGCGTCTTCCGTTGCAAGACAAACCTGTAACTGTTCTTCAAACACATTATTTATGCTGGCTACCTAGTTAAGAAATCAAACAGAATCTCAAATTGGACTGAAATTCAACAGCAAACAACCTTTTTTGACACATGACTCGTTGGAAAGTAAATATCATCAGGGCTACTGCACAACTTTAATGAAGCTAGTGTTTGGATGATTTTTGAAGCTTCTCATTACAAAGTTAGGTTGGTATTAGGATTGAGCAACAGAACTTTGAGATGAAGTGATAATTATCAGAGGCCAACTCTGAGACTTTTCTAAAAAGCCTGCCAAGTTCCCCAGCTCCTTCTCCCTGGAGAAAGCAAAAAGCATTAGACGTTTTGGAGACAGGTCTTCCAGTTTCTCATTCAACACTTAGCAGGCAGGACTTGTGAGTTCCAAAGTTGAGTTCTTGGAGGAATGTCCTAGTTTCGCTGGGACAGAATCACAGAATTGATTTTCTGTTCAGAGAAGCTACATTTCTAAAGTGAGCTGCATTTTTAAAAAGACTGCAGCACCAGATTCAGTGAGAACAAAGTTGATAAGACACTTCGTTTTAGTCTGTGGCCAGCTGTGCTATGCAGGTATCTATAGTGCTCAAGGACTTTTCAACTTGTTTTTCCTAACAATGCAGATGTCCAAGAACCTGGGGGGAGCGTAGCCAGGGTGACTGACACCTAACTGGGCAAACAGGTATCCATACCATGTAACATCATGTTCACTGTAAATTAGAAAGTTTGTTGGGATGGGGCTCTCCTCGCTCTCTCCACCCTCTCCCTCAATGGTCACTGTCCCTGGAGGATCTCCCTTGCCATTCTGCTCCCAAGGTCTGCTCTCGCTCTTTCTTCCGAGATTGTAGTTTCAGGACTTTTCTGCTCTGGGATTGCTAGCCAGGAATGGGCTGGACCTTGGCCAGTAGTGCCATTGCTGCTCATTGGTGGAGAGCAGCTGCACCATACATCATTTTTCTATATATATTATTATTGTTATCACTATTTTCCCATTTTATTTTATTTCAATTATTAAACTGTTCTTATCTCAACCCACAGCTCTTCCTTCCTTTTCCCGATTCCCCTTAGTGAGTGGGGAGGGGTCACTGCATAACAGAACAGCTGGCTATTGTTTAGCTGCAGATACAGTCTAAATGTAGACAAGGAGACAAAAAAAAAAATCTAATTTCAATGGAAATGAAAGTCTTGTCATTTCTCCCTTTCCAGCTTTGGGAAGAGGGGTTTGATTTTTTACTTTGTTTTTCCTGTTTCTACCTCCCCTCCTATTAAGAAGCTAAGCTATCAAGAAGAAAAGAATTTTAGAAATCCCTGCATTCACAGAGCAATCTGGATGCTAGAGTTTAGATAAATTCCAAAAAGAGTAGACACTGGTGAAAGAAAAACACAGACACCATATTTAGCTCCAGAAATCCCAGAGCCTCAGGAACAGCGGAGGAACCTGCAGGAATACTCCTCACAAGCACCACTGTGACCTTCTCCAGTTCCTCCACTGTTCCTTTGGTGCCTGCTGTTTGCCACCACTGGTGACGCTGCTGCTGCACCTCATGGCCACACACTCTAGTGACTGTATCACGTCAACTGTTGCTGCTCCATTTTTCCTCTAGAAATGCAAACAACTTGGGTAGCTAAACCCAGATATGCCATTCATACTGAAGGGACAGTGCTGTCAAATGTGTTTCTTGTATACCACTACAAGACTGTAGAGCTGGTAAGACATACCTTCTGACATGCTCTTTTGCACACATGCTTGTATTCTTTAGCTTTGGATTCGGAATGATAACCTGCACCTACAATTAAAGGAAAAGAAAAAGAGATTATACTATCTATCAAACTACAGCCTATCATTCACATAAAGATAGACAGATACAGCCTTCCTTATTCTGGATTACACTGGCATTTCCTTTTTGTATCAATGATTGACAATTTTAGGCATTCCAATATCGACTCAAATACGCTCAGTAAAATACAGAGCATATATGCAGAAGCATACGGGTATAAATCTCAGTGTCATGAAATCTCTTCCTACAAACACTCTCCAAGACATTCCAGTTTTGCTCATTCTTGGAGGATTTCCAGCATAGGTTTTTTACGTATTGCACATTATTGGGTAAAAACCTTGGTTTTAAGTCAAACTCCAATCTTCCTTTTACCGCTGACTGGCAAGCTTGCAATTACCATTCTGTTCATCTTCTCATGTTTATGCTGCATTTTCAGAGCTCATTACTCCTGCTTTAAAAACAGGAGAGTTACTTGCAATAAAGATCATACAAATTTTCTCATCTTTTTTCTCATTTTCAGTCTTTATCCTGTTGCATTTAACCATTTTACCCTGTTTTGTAGCTACTGCCTCCTACTCCCACACCTGACAAATTTATCAGTGCCCATCATTCAATTAAACAGCATCGGAAAAATAACAGACAAGACTAGCACACTGATATTCAACTTCCATCTTCTTTTGTTTTCCTGGGTTTTGAACTTGAAAAATATGCTCATATTTATCTCAACTTCCTTTTCCTCACCTCTGGAAACATTAGCTTTGAGAAACTCTAATAAAATGAGTTTTAACACTACAAGTGAAAGAAAAAAGAATTTTAAACAGAGTAAAGTAAACCAGTAAAGGACAACATATTGAACAATTCTATTTGCTCTTAAAATAGAGTATCAGGGTCATCACATATCAACCCAGAGTAAGTTCTTCAAGGGGATTTTTTTACCTTAAGGACTTTATAAACTAAGTAGCATGTTGGTTTTTCAAATGTTTTAGGTTTCACCAGACTACTTTGCTCAATTTCATGTTATGTCATCACACATATACTAAAAACGAATATATAGCCACACATAAGCATCACTCATAATTTCAACATCAACAGTATTTAAGAAAGAACCTATTAGAAAATAATTTATGAACAAGACACGCATAAAACATCATTTTTGTATCACATCTGAGTAGACGATCTCTTCATTACATGTGGAAAAAATAAATAGTAATTCACTCAAATATGAACAGTATTAAATGGATTAGACTTGGAGGAAAACTTTCAAAAGGGAAAAAAAGAGTGAAGTTCTGAAACAAAAATGCCTAATGAGGTTTCAAAAAGTCTTAACTAGACAGTCCTTACAGACAAGCTAGACAAGAAACTGTCAGTAATGAACAGCTACGTTTGATCTTTCTGAGGGGTAAGGAAACAGACTGACAGATCTCTCACATTTTGTAGGCTTCCCAAGCTTACCAGGTAATTGCAGAATTTGACATTTTATAATCATTTAGTTTAGGGATTTTGTTTGAGGTTTTCTTCATCAAGGAGAAAAAAAAAATAATACCATCCAGAACACTCAAAACCCTACATTTTTATTAACAATTTCCAAGATCCTCCAGCTAATGCAACTTCCAATCAAACTCTCCACTCCTAGATTTACACCCAAAGCTAATGTCACTTCCTTAACATACAAAGTGCAAAGGTAAGGAATTAAAACAAACTTTTAAAACAAATTAAAACAAACTTTTAGTTGATATTTAGTTTGTATATGCACTATTTCCATCCCAGCTGTTATGTTTCTGCATCTTACCTGCATGGACAAGCACAAATCCCACTCGCTTCCCTCTTTGGGTTTGCTTTGTTTCGGGCTCTTTGACCACCACTTTTACAGCTGTAACCTGAGACGAATTGGAAGGTAACACTTCTACTGAACTTATGCCCTTCTCCATGATCATACATTAGGATCACCATCTTCTACTGGAGAAGAGCATCCTTCCATTCAAAAGTAAACTCTGGAGAGGAATCATCCTAAAACCAAATCACACGCATAAGTTAGATACTGATTTCAAGAGATGAATTCCATACAAATAACTTCAGAAAGAACTTTTGGAAGAGAGGTTTGAAACAAGGACAATATGCCTCTTGAAAGAAGGGCTTCTAAGTTCTGCCTCTTCCCTTGCTAACAGTACTGATGAGACTTAAAATTAAAACACTTAAAAATGCCATTCCCTTTCCTTTCTTTTGCAGAAAACAGCTGCTTAAGATCCTATAATGAACTCCTACTCTTCTGTACTTTTTCATCCCTTACCCTTATTATTCTCCACTAATTTGCAGGGAAAAAGAAAAAAAGAAATTAACTTTTTTTATCACAAAGTACTTCTAAAAAAATGCCAAATAGGTCTAAAACAGTGCGAGAAAGCTGGCCTAGATAGGTGTAAGGATAGCTACCGCGGTTATTAATGAACTGCAACATGCTTAAGTCAATCTCAAATAATTTAGTAACCCTATTCCGTTTTGATCTTAACCCTTAGGATGTTTATAGACAGTTAATGGGAAGCCTGTCAGTATTTTCTAGTATACAAAACCAAAAAGCTCCCAAGTTAAAGTACAGAACTATGTATTTTTCAGGAGTTAGAAAACAAATTCAGTGTATTTACCGCTCCTCTTATCCACAGCCTAACACGTGAATCCTGACACAATACCGTTTCTCTAGTTCAGCAAATAAAATTAAAAACAGAGGTGCTCTACATGTTGAATTAATTCAGGAAGTGGAAAAGTATATAGTGTTAATGCATGAATGGGGAAAACCTCTATAATATATTAAGATATTCCAACATGTCTAGCACTCCTACCACTTTGAAGGGGACTACTTGTAACCTAAGAATACTTAAAAGTGAATAGAAGTGGAAAAAAAAAGAGATGTTTAATACATAGGATTTAAACCACAGATTTTGCAAATGCTATATAGCTTACTCCAGAAATTAAATACCATTCCATTTAAACAACCAAAACTATGCAAATGATGTTTAGCAAGATTCAGCACTGGCACAGAACAGACAAACTCACTGGTTTACCACAACCATCCTAATGAAAATTAGCACAGCTTTCTAGGAAGATATTTATTTCCACTCACTTTTCCTTAGATGCCAAACATATATAGGTATCTTTGTATGTTTGTAAATTTGTATTTTAAAATTAGATATGAACTTATTGTTAGTTACAAATACATATATGTATTTATACAAAATGAAAGACCACTACAATACATACACTCTACAGAGAGAAAAAGGATTTATGGACAACACCCAATTGTAATGATCTCCTGCATAAACTTCAGAGTTAAAATTAAAGTCTTAATTGCTACATTTACTCCTCTTTTGCTAATAATAACTAAGAAAGCTCCAGGTAGTAAGCTGAAACACAGTTTGTTTGCTACGAACTCTGCTTTCCTGCATCGTATTACACCACTCAGAAGGTCATTACAGCAACAGAGGCATGACAAAAACTTAAGTAAGATGGTAAAGGAGTTAAGGAACACATATTCTTATATTTTTGCAGAAATGGAAAAAATAGTGTGGTGGTAGGAAAAGTAATAATGATGGTAGTTAAGTTGGTTTTGAAAATGAAGATATAGATGCCACTTAAAGCCTAACTAATAGCATAACTCCAGACTGACAACTTTAATTTGGCCTTTACATACCGAGGATGAGGATGTTTGTTTTTACCAGACAATGTATAGTCAACCTATCTCAACAATTTTCTTCAGTTCCTAACACTTCCTCCACATCAACTCAATCTTGTCAAACTCCTTCCCTCTCAAATCGTTCTTCAAGTCCTTTCAAATGTCATTCACAAACCTTCTGCTTCCACTTCATAAGCTCCCACTGGGCCCCAACCCTTCCCTTTCTAGCTTCTTCTAGGATGTATCCGTTCTCCTTCCTGGCTGCCACACATTCATCACTTCTGATCTCATCCCTCCTTGTTACACAGCTCACTGTTCTACCTCTGTGCAGCTACAGAAACAGGGGAAGAACACACTCCAGTTTGGACTCCTGAAGAACAGGAACCATGATGATTTCACCGAAGTAGCCCAGAGCACTTACTGCACTGAAGAAGTAACTCCGAAGCTACACAGGCTCCCAGAAAAACGTAAATAAACGCGACTGTTTGCACCCAAAGCAGAAAGAGCTGCTCAGCCTTTCAGTGCACTTGCCACAGGCCGCTCTGCCCGCCCAGGGGTGACCCCCACACCAGTCCCCCCAGCTTCCGAGCTCTGCCGAGCGCAGGAACCAGCCCTGCAGGGCGCACACGAACGCGGCAGAGGGGCGAAGGGACAGACGTACACACCCGCGCCTCCGTCTTCATACCGGTAACGTGGAACGGCTCGTTTGCAAGAGCTTTTGGGTTTTACAGCACGAGGCCTGAGGGGCACAGGCCGAAGAGCAACGGGGCGAGAGGAACCGAGAAACGTGACGGGGAGGCGAGCAACCGGCGGCCACGAAACGGAAGTAGGAA